ACTAGAGACTTGCGCTTTAGCAAATACATGCATATCCATGTTATAATCATAATCTGAAATTTTCATGAATATCGTATGTCCATAAAAAAAGTTATTAAACAATTAAGTTCTCATAGTAAGCGCACACTGCGCCCATGCGTGTTTATGCTTGTGTGTGTATGTGGGTGTAAATGTTTGTGTATGTGTGTGTGTGTATGTATGCCTGCGTGTGTGTATATGTGTGTGTGTGTGCGTGTTTCTTGTGCAAGCTGAAAGACGCGAAAAATTATTGAAATAGCTATTACTCCAAGGGTTCAGGGGATCTCGTAGTCGAGCAGTCTCGAATAGAGTTATAAGAGCTAGAGAACTTAAATTTGGCATGCATACTAGTGTGTACCATACGCAGTACAAGTTTATCATATTTTTTTGATAACTCTTCCAATAACTTTTTGATCGCATTTCAAGTACTAGAGACTTGTGCTTTGGAATGTACACACATTTTAACCATATGATCACGCCCTGAAAGTTGTAGCAGATATAAATTGACTACTGGTTTCCGATCATGTTTATAATCGATAACAAAATAACGGGGAAAGTTATCGATTTTTGAAGCAAGATTGACGCGTTCATACATACGGACGGACGGACAGGGCCAAGTCGACTAATCTCGTCGCCCTGATCAAGAATATATATACTTTATATACAACAAAACCATTATACCTTGATTTCAAATTTTGGGGTTCAGTTCAATGGGTTCAGGGTACAAAAATGAAAAAACGAAAAGTGAGTGCGTCATAGGCGAAAAACGTCTACGTGTATGACAATTTTTGAGTCTGTATGCGATTTTAACAACTTATTTAGTCACACACACATACACTCCCACTCCATCAATTCTTTTTTAATCGGCTGAATATTCTACCTGGAGCCTGGAGCAACGTACTCTTTTTTGGTTTGGCTTCTATGTCACTCAACATACATACATGTACATGTACATGTATATACATACAGTATGTCCAGTAGAGTACAGTATTGTTTGCAACACAAAAAAAAAGTCGTACAAATTCAACTTTAACATCATATTTTATTAGGAAATGCACTTTTTCTCAGATTTTTTTTTACATTATTTTTGTTTCATATATTCTTAATGAAAATAAATAACAAAAATATTAAGAATAGTAACCAAATTATACAAAATAATTCAAAACAAAAGACAATCAGCTAATATTAGCTGTCTATAAATTCTTTGCAAAATGCAAACATTAATATTATGAGATATGTATCTCTCTAAGATCGGTGTGGAATTGGCTAATATATTGGTATGCCCAGCATTAGCTTCCATTACACCTCTGAGGTTTCTTACTTGTTCTATATTCCACTCCCCTAAAGAGGTGTAATATTTATTTTTGGAGCATCGATAACACCAGTAACTCAACTATACTAATTCGAAGCTTCTAGCTGTTGAACTGTAGGGGATATAAATTTTGCAGTTTTCCACGCCTCTTGTAGCGTCATACATGTACACACACAGACATCCGCACGCACGCATAAACACGCATTAGTTGCAGTGTTGGCTTACTATGGTAACTTAATTGCTTAATAAATACATTTATACTACACATTTAATCTACACTTAAAATTTGGAAGCTCTAGCTCTAAAGGTGTAGGAGATATAATTAAATAACTAGCTTTCGATAAGGTTTCTAATCGATAATAAAATATCGGGAGTAGCTATCGATATTTAGAGAAAGGCTCGATATGGGCGTGATATACACGGACCTCGAAAACAAAATTTCAAGTCTCTTTAATATTTATTTATTTATTTACAGTGGCTCACAGCTTATTTGACCCAACGTAAAATAAAAATTTCATCAGCTCATTACTTTTTACCCAATACAAATTTTTGAAAAATTCAAACGTAGAATTGTTATTTCAATATTAAATTAATGGAAAGCATAACTTTTTTATTGATATTTTAAAAAAACACAGTATGAAAATAACACTAACTAAAAGAAGTCATAAACTCAATGTCACAGCTTATTTGACCCAGTAGTTAATTTTAACAGTAATTTCAAAATTATGGCTAGTTTTTTTACACTTACTATTTTGCATAACCCCCTTATTGATCTAATACAGCCTTAAGTCTTCCCGGCATTGAAGCCACCAATTTTTTTGTTGTTTCGGACAGGATTTTCCCCCGGACAGGATTTTCCTCGACTAATGTTGTTTTTAAATATTTTTTGTTAGAAACATTTCGAGACCTGATACTAGTATCTAAAATAACCCACAAATTTTGATTACATTACATTTACATTAAGATCCGGGGAGGTTTGAGGTTATGCGGCCAGTTCCATACCAGCCAAGACTGAACAACACCCGATGTGTGCTTTGGGTCGTTCTCCTGATAAAATGTAAAGTCCTCTTTCAGGGCAAGATATTCAGCACTTTGGATAAGATTTTGTGTTAAAATGCTTAAAAACATAATTTTATCCATGGTGCTTTCAATAAAAGCTAGTTTTCCAACTCCAGAGACAGACACACAGGCCCAAAACCTCACAGACCTTCCATCATGCTTTACTGTGGGTTTCAGGTGCTTCTCATGCAGCTCGGTATTCGCTTCTCGCAAGACGTAGGGCCTCCCATCCAAACCAAATATGTTAAACTTGGACTCGTCAGCGAAAATGACTGTTCCAGTAGCTGGTGTCCTTGTTAATGTACTCTTTAGCGAGTCAGAGCCGGCTTTCCTTATTTTTCTTACTAATGAAAGGCTTCTTGCGAGCAATTCTACCATGTAAATCATGGTCTCGGAGTATACAACGAATCGCTTCTGCACCACACGACTTCCCCAGCTGTTGCTCCATCTGACTAGCCAGTTTTGGAGCGGATAGCTTGGGGATTTCCTTCATTTGGCGCACAATGTATCACTCATCGGTCTCATTGAAAATTTTGTTGGCAGCCCTTATTAACCACTCTGTTTTCAAAAACAAATAGGTTTATTATGTTGTTTCATCAATAAAATGATTTCACATTTTCCAACGAAAACAGATAGGAAACACGTAAAAAAATATACAAGATTCAGACTAGGACACACAAAACTGACTCACGAATACATATTCAATAAAACACCTGCTCCTACCTGCCCATTTTTCAATAGCGACACCTTGACAACAAAACACCCACAACTCCAATGCCAACACGTAATGAATATCACTCAATATATATATATATATATACATATATATATATGTAAATAAATATAGAATGTAAGCAATGTATATAAAGTAAATAATTTATATAATGTAAATAATGCCTGAAAGCCTTTGTCGCTCTAGCTTAACAAATTGTTATTTAGAATTAATTTCTTGATAACAATAAATAAATAAATAATTATGTTGATTACTGTAGATTCGGGTAAATTAACGAACTCTGCAATTTTTCGCCGCAAAATTCCATTTTAAAAGTGGTGTAGCTCCAATTCCCGCTGCTGTATTGTTGTGCGCTTTCCCATTTTTGCAAACACGTGTTTCCTTCAAAAAATCTCACTTTGAATGGTAAAAATACTTCAGCTTCACATTGCGAATTCAATAATCAAAACAAAAACTGAAATAGTACCTTAAATTTCCATTTTACGCGAATATACCTGTTCTTAAAAAAAAGTGGGTCAAATAAGCTGTGACATTGAATTTATGACTTCTTTTAGTTTTCGTTATTTTCTTACTGTGTTTTTTTAAATATCAATAAAAAGGTTATGCTTTCCATTAATTTAATATTGAAATAACAATTCCACGTTTGAATTTTTCAAAAATTTGTATTGGGTAAAAAGTAATGAGCTGATGAAATTTTTATTTTACGTTGGGTCAAATAAGCTGTGAGCCACTTATATGGGGCACTTTATTTTGAATCAATTTACTGCATACAAAAGTGTTGTGTTTAACATTTTTTAAATTTAAGAGTACAGGACACATTATCCTTTTCTACTTAAATATAATTATATTTTTATAATATGGAAATTGATTTGATGTTTTTTTCTTATTTTAAATAAAAAAAAAACGGTTCAATATTATATTTTAAAAAAATTGTTGATAAATGTGTGTTATTTTCTGTTTTTCATTAAAAAATATAATATTGATAATAATACTATTGTTTATCATATTTATTCTCTCTCTAATTCGCACATTAGGCCTGTACGCATAGTTCTGGCAAGTGTATATAGCAATTGAGGGTGTGATTCTGAAGGAATAATTAATTCATTTTTTTTCTGCGAATAAACTTATCCATTAAGACCTTAAATAATGGCATATTCACTTTTTATACTCATTCACGAAAGTGAATTAGTATATTGGTTTTGTGCAATGTCCGTCTTGCTGTCCGTCCGTCTGTCCGTATGAACGCAGTTTATTTCAGCACTATTGAAGCTAGATACTTGAAATTATGAACACATAATCGTGTATATCTCCGCTTTATAGTGTTAAAATTTTCCCGATCCGCCCACCTAGGGCATGGCAATCGGAAAATGCATTTTCCGATATGCCAGAAATCATATTAGTTGAAGAGCTAGAAACCTGAAATTTGGAACGTAGATCCGCGTCGACCACCCAAGATCACGAGCTATGTCGGATATATCTCCGCCCATTGGGGGCGTGGCAAATCGGATAAAACTCTATCGATGACTCAAAAATAATTTTTACGCCTTTTTAGGGGCGTGACATATCGAAAAAGGGCCTGTAATTTTCACACTTTTTAAGCGTAAGCATTCAAATTTTACAGTTAGGGTACCGTTAGCTCATTCTAACAACCGACAAAAATGATGTGTTTACGCCCTGTGGGAGCGTGGAAAATCGGGAAAATCTACAGTATTAGAGCGAAACTTAAACTTACTAAATTGAGTATTCCGCAGTCGGTGACGCCCGACTGCAACGTTCTTACTCGCTTTAATGCTACAAAGCCCGAAAAATTGGTGTATGTTGAATTTTTTCCTTGACTGAATCAAATATACTTAACGAAACATGAATATTTCCATACAGGAATAGGATATCATTTTGTTGCGACACCAGTAAAATTTGTAGAACATATTTGATAAAATAATGAACGGCTTAGCAAACAGTAATGACGACACTATTGAGTGCCCATTGTGTATGGAACCGCTAGAGGTTGATGATTTGACTTTTTTCCCATGCACGTGTGGATACCAAGTAAGTTTAATGGAGATAGAAATTTTATTGCAAGTATATGTCTTATATAATTTACAGATTTGTAGATTCTGTTGGCACAGAATTCGTACAGACGAAAACAAACTGTGTCCAGCATGTCGAAAAGAATACCCAGAAAATCCTGCTGATTTTAAACCGCTTACTCAAGAGGAAGTAAGTATATTATAACAACATCGATATTACTATCGACTGTATATTTTTTACTTTACGGCCTCAACACGTTTGTAGAATTTATTACAAGAAGAGTAACATAATTTTCTCTTTTTTCGTCTTTTTTTTTAAATTTTTTTTTATAAATATTTTAAATTTTTGTATACGTATCTTCATGAATATATACATATATCCAATTTAAGTCGCTAGTACATCATTTTTAGAAAAGAATATGCCGATTTTTTTCGTATACTTGACAGAACTTCATGTCCGATAAGCATAGATATATGTATTTAATAATTAATAGTTTATACGAGAATATTTGTTAAATTTAAAGTCTATAGCTAACACCATAAATAATAGTGTTTTTGTTTTGTCACATTCTTGTATTTGCTGATTTTATTAGGTTGTATACGTTTTACTACTCAGTGTCATTTATTAATTAGTATTTATATGGATACTACCGTATTGTATGCTGTAAAATACCAATGTGCTGCTGATGAATTCAGTTGGTTTATTTCGTACATTCAAAGGAAATGAAATAAATTATTTTCATAATATATTAATACAATTTTCCTTAATAATGTTAGATGATTGCATTCAAATCTCAAAAGCGTCAAAGAGATCAACAACGAAAACAAAAAATAACTGAAAACCGGAAACACCTAGCTAATGTTCGTGTGGTTCAAAAAAATTTGGTATTTGTTGTTGGGTTGCCGCCTCGACTAGCTGACGCTGACGTAAGTGTATAAGTAAACGATTTATATACATTTTCTTTCAATTTACGATTTTATGTAACAGATTTTGAAAAAGCACGAATATTTTGGAAAATATGGAAAAATTCATAAAGTTGTTATAAACCCAAGTACAACTTACGCTGGAGTACAGGTAAATATTTCGCTATTTTAAAAATGTTTAGCTAATCGTAATATTTAAAGGGTCCGTCAGCGTCGGCTTATGTCACATATGTACACAATGCAGATGCATTGCGAGCTATACAAAGTGTAAACAATATAATGATAGATGGGCGTCTAATAAAAACCAGTCTCGGAACAACAAAATATTGCAGCCATTTTATGAAGAACCAACAATGTCCCAAATGCGATTGTATGTATTTACATGAGTTGGGTGACTCAGAAGCTAGTTTTACTAAGGAGGTAAAATATCGTATTTAAAATGTATTATATATTACATCATTATTCAAATTTTAAGGAAATGCATCAAGGAAAACATCAAGAGTATGAAAAACGACTGCATGATGCCTTAATTGCCACTTCTGGGGTGACCGGTAATGGTGCAAGTGTAGTTGGTAGCGGTGCCTCAAAAGTAAACGGTAAAACTTTTTTTTATAAAAATATAGAGCACCTCAAAAAAAGAGTAACAATGTTTCTATACAGCTTCGGGTACGATGTCATCATTATCATCTTCGACATCGTCTGTTGCAAATAGTTCAACTTTAGGAAATGCACAGCAGAAAGAAGCTTGGCCAAGTTTATCAGTTTCTCCAATTAATAACAAAGAAACCTTAGGAACAGCCTCTAATATGAACGGAAAAAGTAGAAAGGAAAAGTCACGGAACGACAAAGGTCGTCATGATAAAAATAAAACTAAAAACAAAAATCATGTGTTCCCTAATGCTAATACATCTAACAAAGAGAACTTTATACCTGATACCAGGGGTGATTCCAGCTCTATAACTATAACAGCTCCAGCTGAGGAATTAGTCAGTACTTCTACAAAAATAGAATTAGATTCTGTTAGGAATCGACCAAAATCTGAACGTAACAAAGAAAAAGTATCATTAAATCGTGCCTCACTTTCAAGAGACCAAAAAGAAATGAAAGAAGAAATCCAAAAGACTTCGGCTGAAGTAAATCAACAGTTGGATCATTCTGACGAAGGGCCGAATTCCAGCAAAGAAGTAACCAATCGCAATGAAAGCAATATATTCTCACTCTCAAGTCGGCCAGCATCTAATGTACATCGGTCGCTTAGTTCTAGCAGTGAAAATAGTGATGATCACTTGTCTGAAAGCAGTACAAGTGAACAAAGTTCGCCTGGCAATGTAAAGAATGTACGATGTAATAGTAACGCAACCCATACTGATATGATCAATAGCAATATAGAATTGGCAAACTCTGATATTTTGTCAACAACAAACACAGCAAACGTACATAAAGCGTGCGAACCAAATACTAAAAAAAGAGATGAAATAACTCAATCAGAAATCCAAGATGATATAGGAACATTAAATATCGGAAGAATCGACTCCACAAAGGAAGAATCGGGTATGTTATTTTTATTAACTAAATTTGTTATACTTTTGTAAGGTGGAATGTTTTTTTATACCCTGAACCCATTGAAATTGGGAAATCAGGGTATACTGTTTTTGTGAAAAGTATGTAACAGACAGAAGAAACTCTAGGACTCCATAAAGTATATAAATTCTTGATCTGGGCGACGACCTGAGTCGATATAGCCCCGTACGTCCGTCCGTATGAACGCCTAGATATCGGAAGTTAAACGAGCTAGAGAGCTGAAATTTTGTATGCATACTCGTGTATACCATACACAGTCCAATTTATTATATTTTTGCCATAACTCTTCAAATAACTTTTTATACCCTGAACCCATTGAAAATGGGAAATCAGGGTATAATGGTTTTGTTAAAAGTATGTAACAGGCAAAAGGAGGAGTGGCAGACCCCACAAAGTATATATATTCTTGATCAGGGCGACGAGCTGAGTTGATTTGGCCCTGTCCGTCTGTCTGTCCGTCCGTCCGTCCGTATGTATGAACGCGTCGATTTCAGAAGATATAAGAGCTAGAGACTTGAAATTTTTTTCCTAGGTCCGTGTATATCACGCGCATATCAAGTTTTTCTTTATATATCGATAACTACTCCCGATATTTTATTATCGATCAAAAACCTTATCGAAAGCTAGTTTTTTAATTATATCTCCTACACTTTTAGAGCTAGAGCTTGCAAATTTTAAATGTAGACTTATATGTATTTTATATAATTTCGATTTTTGTTGTAATTTACGCCCCACCCCTATATCCACCCCCTCACCCTCACCTTTGTAAAAGGCGTATTTCAAGTACTAGAGACATGTGCTTTGGAATGTACATACATTTTCACCATATAATTACGCCCTGAAACTTTCATTAAGATTGTACGTATAGAAATAAAATTATTCAACAAATAAATTCTTATAATGTTACCTACACTACAGCGCAGCCCAAGCGCAGTTAGCAGAGCGCATTCTAATACGTGTGTGTGTATGTATGTGTGTCGAAAAGAAGTGCAGACTGATTAGAATATCAGATTAGAGGGTTCAGGGTATCTCCTAGTCGAGCAGTCTCGACTAGAGTCTGCTTACTTGTTTTTTAAAAGTTTTTTATCGAGAGTAATCAAAAAATTGATTTTGTTTTTTCAGCCTAATTTGAACACTTTTAGACCTGGATACTTCAGATTTACTGTGTATATATATTTGATGAATACAAAGATTTTGTAATTTACATATTTTGGATACCACGCCCCCTTTGCCCCTTCTTCATAAAGATAATTCTACTACAAGAGAAATTATTCAACTAATAATTCTCATAATATTGCCCACACTGCAGCGCAGCCTAGGCGCAGTCGCTGCTAACTACGCAGTCAGCAAAGCGCGTGATTATACGTGCGTGTGGATGCAAGTGTATTTATGTGTGCATAAAAGAAGTGCATAATGTTTCGAAATTAGCTTGGAGGGTTCAGGGTATCTGCTAGTCGAGAGTCTCGACTAGTCTCGAGCAGTCTCGACTTCTTACTTTTTATTGTCTTTGATTATGTGATGGACAATGCAATATCAATATCAACAAAACTCGTTTTAATCAGAAATGTAGATATAAATAATTTTTTAGTTTTTATATCATGAACCCATTTTCAATGGGAAATCAGGGTATAATGGTTTTGTTGAAATGTATGTAACAGGCAGAAGGAGGCGTGGTAGACCCCATAAAGTATATATATTCTTGATCAGGGTGACGAGCTGAGTCGATTTGGCCCTGTCCGTCTGTCTGTTCGTCCGTCTGTCCCTATGTATGAACGCGTCGATTTCAGAAGATATAAGAGCTAGAGACTTGATTTTTTTTTAAATGTCCGTATTTACAGCACGGATATCGAGTTTTTCATTAAAATTCGATAACTCATCCCGATCTTTTTTTATCGATAAAAAAACTTATCGAAAATCAGTTATAAAATTATATCTCCTACATCTTTAGAGCTACAGTCTCCAAATTGTATATGTATAGTGATATGCATTTTATACAATTTCGGTTTTTGTTAAAATGTACTCCCCACGCCTATATATACCCCCTCACCCACATATTTGTAAAAAGCGTATTTCAAATACTAGAGACTTGTTCTGTGGCAAGTGCACGCATATTATAGTTATAATTACGATTCTCAAGTTTCATGAAGATCGTATGTCCACAAAAAAAGTTATTAAACAATTATCTCATGATAAGCGCACACTGCAGCCCATGCGTGTTTATCCGTGGGTGCTTATGTGTGTATGTGTGGTTGTATGTGTCTGTGTGCGTGTGTGTGTGTGTGTGTGCGTCTTTCTTGTGTAAACAGAAAGACGCGAAAAATTATTGAAATAGCTATTGCTCGTAGGGTTCAGGGGATCTAGAGCTTTCCTACTTGTTTATTTTCCCTTTTAGCCACAATGCCCTTGAGCGTAGACATATAAATTTAATACAATGCTTAGAACGAGTAAAGTTTTCTATATGCCGAGTCATAATCAAAAGATTCGTGAAAATGTTTTCTTAATTATGGATAAGAGACCTGGAAAGCGAAGATGAACCGTTCCGCACTTTTAGATTTAAGCTTTAAAGCCAGACCGTCATGCTGTCTATGTGTCTGTAGACTCGACACAGGCCATATGGCTTGCGTTTACACCCTACGTGATGTATAACGGTTTTGTTAAATGTATGTAACATGCAGAAACCGATGGCAAACCCTATAAATAACATATATTTATATAATTTTATCAGAACGACGAGCTGAATAGATATAGCCCTATCTGTCTGTTTGTTTATCCGTTCTTCTCTTTACTTGTCGTCGCTCTTAAGAATTATAATTATATGTGATATTTGCACATAATTGGGACTGGTGCTTTGGCAAATACATTTGAATTATGACAGGTTTATGAAGATAGTTCATCTATAGTAAGCTCCCTTGCAATCTATGCGCGCTTGCTTCATATGTGGGCATGTAATGTTTCTTTTCTGATTACAAATAAAACGTAATGAAAAAGAAAAAACAAAAATCAACAAGAATTTAAAACGCAACTGTTGACAATCAATTTTCAATTGAATAATGGGTTGTAACTGTCTAACTCCATAATTTTATTTTTTATTTCAGATGCCATGTTTAAGCTTAACATGTTTGATGATAGCAACAGCTTTTTCTCGTCGTCTCCTACATTGCAACAATCGGTGCTGTTGAGGAATAAAGAGGATGGGGATGTAAGACAGTCGCAAAACAGCGTAACAAATTCCCATTTGCCAGATTTGCTCAATGGTAAAATAGTAATAATATATTTTTAAAAAAATTTTTATGTTATGATTTCATTTTCTTCTATGTTCCACTTGGCGTATTAAATCAATAAGGTATTGATGGATACCAAAATGCTGTCAACACAAATGGTAATTATAATTTGTATACCTTGAACCCATTGAAAACGGGAAATCAGGATATAATGGTTTGGTTGAAATGTATGTAACAGTCAGAAGGAGGCGTGGAAGAGCTCATAAAGTATATATATTCTTGATCAGTCAATTTATCCCTGTCCGTCTGGCTGTCCGTCCGTATATATAGCGCGGATATCGAGTTTATCTCTAAAAATCGGTTACTCATCCCGTTATTTTTATATCGACAATAACATTAGAGCTAGCTAAATTTTATATGTAGATTCATATGTACTTTATAGAATTTCGAATTTGCAGCTCATACGTGCTTAAGCGAAAGCCTGTGTGTGTGAAATTGCATTTGCTCGAAGGCTTCAGAGATTTTTATACTCATTCACGAAAGTGAAATGAGTATATTGGTTTTGTGCAATGTCGGTCTTGCTGTCCGTCTGTCCGTATGAACGCAGTCTATTTCGGCGCTATTGAAGCTAGAGACTTGAAATTTGGAACACATACTCGTGTATATCTCCGATTTATAGTGTTAAAATTTTCCCGATCCGCCCACTAGAGGCGTGGTAAATCGGAAACCGCATTTCCGATATACCAGAAATCATGTTAGTTGAAGAGCTAGAAAGCTGAAGTTTGGTATGTAGATCCGCGTCGACCACCCAAGTTAGTTGAAGAGCTAGAAGGCTGAAATTTGGTATGTAGGTCCGTGTCGACCACCCAAGATAACGAGCTATGGCGGATATATCTCCGCCCATTGGGGGCGTGGCAAATCGGATAAAACTGTATCTCCTAAAGTTGTAACTCTAGAATGCTGAAATTTTGCACGTGAGCTGATGTTTCGATTTAATAAAGATGGGTGGAAATATTATATCTATGCCTTATTCGGGCGTGTGAAATCGGACCTGAAGATAAGGTGATTTTTCGAATTCTGCTATATTTTGGGCACTATTGATGCTAGAGACCTGAAATTTGGTATATATACGCGGGTTGACCTCCCAAGTCCAATGAGCTATGGTAGGTATATGTCCGCCCATAGGGGGCGTGGCAAACCGCAAAAGTTGATATCTCCTACAGTTTGAGCTAGATCAAATTTGGATAGCTGAGTTAATAAATTAATAAAATTAATCGAATTAATCGAAAAATACCCTGTAATTTTCACATTTTTTGAGCGTAAGAATTCAAATTTTCCATTTAGGTTACTGGTTGCTCGTTCTAAGAACTGGCCAAAAATGAGGAGTCTACGCCCAGTAGGGGCGTGGCAAATCGAAAAAAACCTGTATATTCTACAGTATTAGAGCGAAACTTAACTACTAAATTGTTGATGGGATGTGAATAAGAATTCCGCAGTCGGTAACGCCCGACTGAAACGTTCTTACTTGTTTCGTTTTTGGAATACATCGAGTAGGAGCCTATGAGCAGCAAGTACTATTTACAAATGCAAGGATGCGTCAAACTATGCTTTTTATTGCAAAATGACTGCATCCAATACCCGTACATATGTATATCTATGTTTTACAAAATCGAACAACTTTTAACTTTTGGACTTCCCAATTCGGATTTCTGCGTTTCGTTATGTTCTACTTGGCCAGTTTATTTGGCGAAGCATAAGCAGACGAACGATATATTGACTTAAGTATTTTTAAACATCTTATGGAGTCTAGGTAGAAACAATTAATATGTTTTATTGTCTGCCGATTTAAATATTTTTCGTTTTTTAAATGCTCTCTCTACATAAAGGCTATAAAGTGTCGAAGGATTATTTTTGAAAAGTTTTATCGTTGCTTACGTTTTAGATTTTATTCAAGATTCTGAAAAATATAATATTGTTTATGGATAAAATATCTGTTTTCAGAATGGGAAGAAGCTTTTAAAAACTTAATGTTGCGGAACAACCGACAAGTAGAAGAACAAGTCCTCCAGCAACAACAACTTCAAATGCAACAGCAACATCATCACCAACAAGTACTAAAACAGCAAGAAGAATTTCTACGTATTCACGAGTTGCAAAAGCGATGTAATTTATTAAATAATGGAATTCCACAAACTACACAAACTGGTAGGTGTGACTATCTATAATCGCGTCTATCTCAGTAGATATATTATATCAGAGACCTGAAAATCGAAAGCCACTTTATCGGCTAAAACCCATCTTTAAAGTTAAACTATCCAAATTTTAATTGAAGATTCATATTTATTTTATAAAATTCCGATTTTTGTTATAACTTACCCTCACAAATAAGTTTGTAAAAGGCATATTTCGAATACTAGAGACTTGTGCCAGTGCCCTTAATCAAATATTATCAAGATCTGCAAGTTAATCCATAAGAGAAGATTAAACAAGTAATAAGCCACTGTGGCCTTAGTCCATAAGTGTATATGCGTATATGTATATATGTGCTATTTGTTATGTAAGCAGTAAGACGCGAAGAATTATTGAAATATCTGTTTCTATATATCTGTTTTATTAGGGCATCTCATAGTTGATTAGTCTCGACTTGAGCTTTCTTTTTATACCCTGAACCCATTGAAAATGGGAAATCAGGGTATAATGGTTTTGTTAAAAGTATGTAACAGGCAGAAGGAGGCGTGGCAGACCCCACAAAGTATATATATTCTTGATCAGGGCGACGAGCTAAGTCGATTTGCCCCTGTCCATCTGTCTGTCCGTCCGTCCGTCCGTACGTCTGTATGTATGAACGCGTCGATCTCAGAAGATATAAAAGCTAGAGAAATGAAATTTTTTCCCTAGGTCCGTGTATATCACGCGCATATCGAGCTTTTCTCTATATATCGATAACTACTTCCGATATTTTATTATCGATCAAAAACCTTATCGAAAGCTAGTTATTTAATTATATCTCTTACACCTTTAGAGCTAAAGCTTCCAAATTGTATATGTAGAATTATATGTATTTTATATAATTTCGATTTTTGTTGTAATTTACCCCCACCCCTATATTAACCACCTCACCCTCACCTCTGTAAAAGGCGTATTTCAAGTACTAAAGACTTGTGCTTTTGAATGTACATACATTTTCCCCATATGATTACGTTTTGAAAGTTTCATTAAGATTTTACGTCTAGAAACTAAATTATTCAACAAATAAATTCTTATAATGTTGCCCACACTGCAGCGCTGCCAAGCGCAGTCACTGCTTACTGCGTAGTTAGCAGAGCGCGTTTTAATACGTGCGTGTGTAAGTATGTGTGCCGAAAAGAAGAGCAGAGTGATTAGAATATCAGATTAGAGGGTTCAGGGTATATCCTAGTCGAGCAGTCTCGACTAGTCTTCTTGTTAAATATCATTTTTTATATATCACATCCGATCCATAAATCACTTCTCTCTAAATGTATAAAAAATTAATTTCAAATACGGGAGACTTGTGCTCTAGCAGATTGACACCCTTCAACGTTATTACCACGTTTTTCTTATGAAGATGATGATAGTCTTCCTACAAGAGAATTTATTCCAAAAGTAAGCTCTAATAATATATGTAGCACCAAACTGCAGTCCAAAGACAGTCGCTGTTAAGTGCGGAATTAGCTGAGCACGTCTTTATGTGTGCGTGTAGATGTCTGTATAAAATAATGCATTCAAGAAGCGTAGAATTATTGTAGTATCAGCTCTTTTAGCTCAGGGGCTCTCGTAGTCGAGCAGTATTAAATTGAGAGTTTATCACTCACTTTTATTGTATACCAAAAATATTTTGTATGTTACTGGATATGAATTGAACCACTTACATACATAAGTAAAGCATTATAAAGTGAATGGTAATATGACTCACATTTCATAACATCACAAAATATAATTTTTTCTTTTTCTAAGATTTCCCAAGACAATACTATGCTAATGATGTTGAAGCAAATAGAACGCAAACACTTGTACCCATACATCCACAGCATATCACACAGCAGCCCGATGAAAATTCCTTGAATGTAAATAACATTTTTGGTGGAAATATGTCAAAGTTTTTCGACTTTCACAAAAGTCAGCAACAGATTCACCAACAGTACATTAATGGACAATCTCAAATAAGTAATGTGGATTCTCATCGATTAGCTTTATTTTTGGAAAACAACCGACCGAACACTTCAGTTTTTGACAATGGTAAATATTATTTTGTATTGACGTATGATAATGTAAATAATTAAATTTTTAATTGAAGGTATTTTAAGCCAACAAGCGCAATTACAGAAACAGAGGTTCATGGCAAATTTTGAAAAAACAGTGAGTACTAAATATCATGCGTAAGAAATCAGAAAATATTGAATGACATAAATTGAAGAATAACACTTGCCAGAAAAAATCTTTGTACACCAGGAAACACATTTTATATTTTGTGTTCAGTTGGCTCTAGCATTTGCTATAATTCACTTATGACATTGTATCTTATCTTTAAAATATAATTCATTCAATTGTATATCAATGTATTTAGTTTATTTCCTAAAAAGAGATCGTACAATTTAATTGTGCTGCGTGCGATGACAAAATCCGCAAGAACGGTTAGATCTTTTTTCCACAATTTTCTCTGCATTCTCTCTTCTTTCAATTACTATGAAATCAATTGTGTGCTTGCTGTGCCATGAACGCTATGGAAATGGAAATCTGTGTAGATGCTAGAAATCTTATGCGAAAATCTCATAATATTCGCATACGATTTCCAATATCCGCAAAGATTTCCTTTTCCATAGCATCCATGGCACACCAAGCGCTCAATCGTTTCATAATAATTGAAACTTCATTTCTTAGAATAAAGAGGAGAGAAAAAGAAAACTCTAGTCAAGACTGAACTATATACTACACTGAACCAAATTAATAAAAAACTACATTAAAATCAGTTAAATTTCAATATTATCATGTTAATATATAAATTAAATATTCGAAAGCGGTTTTTGGATTAAAAAAACATTTATTCACCTTCGGAGTTGGATTAGAACTAAACTTAAGAATAATTATACAAGTACTATTTATATGAAAGCTGTCGCTGCTGCTATTGGCGTCGCTGCCGCCGTGGTCACTGCTGTTGCTGCTGATAGGTGTCTTGTGACACGATGGCTCTCACGGTGGTGCTGATCGGTGCGCTGACTCGGCGCTCGTGGCGGAAATGCACACGTTGACCAGAATGTGTTTTGGCCAAGTGTATTGATCTTATTATTATTGCTGACGATAGGTCCCACGGTTGCGGTTGCGTTGCTGTTGTATTTTGCTGACAAAGCGCACGTGTCAAAAGTGCATGCACTGGAGCCGTGATATAATTGGACCGGTGCAATGCCCTTTTATAGGGTCTGTCGTTAACTCTTCCCCTCTTAGATGCGGACGTCTTCGGTCGCAATATAGAAAACTTGAGCATCGTTGAGCAATATTGTTCCGACAAACAGCTGTTCGTGATTGGGTACGTGTTGATTGTTGATAGCACGGCAGTTTGGAGGTTGGCTTTTTAATAGTGGCATAGTACAAGTATAATTTCTTAAATCGACTAACTTATTTTTATTACAAATTGTTTTTTCATTATGCGACTCGCATGAGTCTCTTATAGCATAGATTGCATTTTCGCATTTTACAATATTTTCGAATTTTATTTCATTGATATAATTTTTTCTTTTAATTGGCTTAATTAACATGGTTGTACAAACTTCATTTAAGATTAAAGGTATGTTGATTATATAGAGTATATTTTTTCCATTACTTGCGATTTTTATTTGGCTAAATTCTAACAATTCTTCTGCATTTAAGAAAATGATTTTTTCTCTTTCTAGTATCTGCTCTATTATTTTGACTTCGGATTCTGACAATATTATTGAGTTTATTGTATTTGTTTTTGCCCAGTCTATGGCATGAATTAAATTAGTTAAATCGTCTTATATTGTTAAGGGTTTCTTCGAAAGTTCCGAAGATTTTTTCATATTCTGAAATGTCAAATACGTGAATAATTTTGAAAGTTCCGTTCTGCATTGCCGAAGTTCCTGTCTTTATCGGAATTAACTGAGAGTGTGAGTAGTCGAGGATTGTGGTTATACCCAGACATAGCGGTGCGAATATCCTGTAAGTTACGTTCGAATGTTATTTTTGTGTATAATTTTCCCTGAAGCTGTTCTAATGGTTGAATTTCTGTTTTCTGCTACAGTTTCTTTTTTGTATTTGGGTGTGAGTTTTGAACCTAGGCGCTTGTTTATTTTTACATAGACTATCTCCCCTTGTTCGTAAGTTTTGGTTTCCTGTCTCTCTTTATTGTGGTAATTTAAGTCATATTTTTCTTTGTCTAGTAGTTTGTTGGATATTATTTTCCTATTCTCTTCTGTTTTTTCTGGGTTATCCTGAGCTGTAGGGCCAAAAAATATCTCTATTGGTTTTCTTTTAGTAACTGAATGGTAAGAGGCGTCATATTCTTGTACTGCTAGGGTAGTATAAACTAGGGAGGGGTAGTATAAACTTCGATACCTAGTTGGTCTTGCAGCAAAAACTTTATAGAGGCTGAATTTAAAGCTCGCTCGTTGTCGATTACTACAGTTCTGGGCATACCGAATGCAATTAGGATTTCTCTTAATGGGATTTTTATATCCTCTGCAGCTCTTGAATTTAAAATCTTAACTTGAACGTATTTTGAGAATTAGTTAAAATAGTCTTATTTTCTGTTATATAAATATCTATATGAATGATTTCGCCTGGAAATTTGGGAATTGGTGTTGCTTGAATTGCTGGATGTGGAGGGTGTCTATCATATTTTGACTCTCTGCACTTTTTTGTGTAGTTGTAGGAAAAAAAATTTTTCGAGAATTTGGGCTTTATTTTCTGATGCATTTCTGTGTGCTCATCTATGCTCTTGTGTTATAATTTTATACTGTTCATCGACGCTCGTAATGTCTTCTACCTTTCTTAGGTGTATCGTATTTTATAATTGGAAAAGTGAAGTGGGTAGAATGCCTGTATTTTGTCCATTATATGTTCTGGAGTAAAAAGGCCGTTAATAAGTCTTGGGTCAAGTCGTTTCTTAAAAATGTCAATTAATTCGTCTTCGGTGAAGTGGGGCTGTGTTACTGTATGCCTATGGTATGTAGGGAAGGGAATTTCGAATTTATAATCGTGCTTTTCGCCGATTACTATGAATAGCTGATTCTTGAAAACGTTAATAGGTGTTTCTATTGTGGGGATGAGATTGTGTGACGAACTTTCATCACTCATAACTGTGGTTTCTGTACTATTGACTTCGTTTATTGGGTTCCTTGATAAAGCGTCTGCTACTACGTTAGTGGTACCTGGCTTATACTTTAACTCGTAATTGAACTCTTCTAAGTAACTCTTCCAACGTTTTAATTTTCCGTTGTGATTCTTATTACTAAGAGCAAAGGTTATTGGTTGGTGGTCTGTGAATATAATAACTTTGGCGGTTCCATACAAGTAAATTCGAAGGGTTTGCAATGCCCAAACTATGGCTAGCATTTCCTTTTCGTTTGTTGCATAGTTCTCCTCTGTTTTTGACAATGTTCGTGATATAAAAGTAATGGGTCTACCTTCCTGTTCAAGGACTGCACCGATTGCGTAATTCGAAGCATCGGTTGTTAGGTGGAATTCTTTAGAGAAGTTTGATTATTTTAAAATTACGTCATTAGAACAAAGAGTTTGCTTTATTTTGTTGAATGCTTCTATTGCCTTGTGATCTAACTTTATCTGTACTTTATTTGATGCTTTTGCTGATATACGACCATCTTCACCTCTGAGGTGAGTGGTAAGGGGTTTAGCTAGTTTTGCATAATCTTTTATGAATCTGCGGTAGTAGCCAGAGAGGCCTAAGAACGATCGTAGTTCTTTAAGAGTTTTGGGTATGGGGAATCTGGAAATCGCTTCAACCTTTTCTGGATTTGTCTTAACGCCACTGTCTGAAATGGTGAATCCTAGGAAATTCACTTATTTTTTTAAAAATTCACACTTGTCCATATGGATTTTCATATTAGCGTTAAGTAAAGTCGTGAAGACTTGTATTAGGTGATGAGCATGTTCGTTTTCAGTTTTGCTGAAAACAATGATGTCATCAATGTAGACATAGCAGATTTTTCCAACATGATCCCTTAGAATATCATCTTTGGAATATTGAAGGGGAATTCTTGAGACCAAAAGGTACTCTTGTAAATTCGTACTTCCCTCCGTTAACAGAAAATGCTGTCTTTTCTATGTCTGTCTCCTTCAAAGGAATTTGGTGGAAACCACTTTTGAGGTCGAGGACCGTGAAGAATTTATTGTCCCCTAAGTGGGCTATGATGTCCCGTATTTCTGGCATAGGGTATCGGTCGGAGATTGTGACCAAATTTAGCTTGCGATAATCAATTACTAGTCGGTATTTCTTTTTTCCTGAGGCATCAGATTTCTTTGGTACGATCCATACTGGAGCGTTATACGGTGATCTAGAGGGTCTAATGACTCCGTCGTCAAGCATTTCTGATATCTGCTTTTCGACTTCTTGCTTTAGAGCAATAGGATATGGGTAATGCCTGCTGTAAACCGGAGTATCGGTATTGGTTCGGATCTCTCCTACTACTTAAGTCGTGTAAGTTAATTTTTGCTCCGGTTTAGTTTCTTGAATTAGTCGATCTATTATCTTTTTCTGGCTATCGGACATATGATTTGTTCGGACCTTTATATTGTTAACTGCTTGTGCTTAATACGAAATTTATTACTGCCATTTACTATTAGGATATCATTCCTGACATCAATAACAACATTGAGTTATTTCATTGTATCATTACCTAGAATACCATGAAAAGTTTTTAGAGTGGGCAATACGAAAAATCTAATTGTTGTGTTGAGGTTAAAAAGATTCAGAAATATGTGATGGGTTATGGCTATTTTTCCGCCTATAGAATTAGCGAAAAAAGCTTCTTTCTTCTTTTTTGCGTTGGTTATTAGGGAAGACTGTATGTAATTCTGGTTGGAACCAGTATCAATGAGGAAGTTCAGTACCTGTCCGTCCCTCGTTTTGCATTGGAAGTAAGGTAACGAGGAACGATTTAAGCTAAAAAATTAACGTCAGACATGTCAGAAATTTCTACTTAAATCTGGTTGTCTGTGGTGCTTCATTCTCGTATGGTGTTTCGACGATACCTTGCTCCTCTGCAGCAGCATAGTAAGCCTGTTCACTCATACACTGCTCGTATGCCTCGGCATAAGCTTTGGCGGCGTATGTGTTTGCATATGCATTTGCGTAAGCGTTAGCCTCATCATCTACGTTCTGCACTTGGGTTTCCCCAGTATTGATGTGAAATTGTCGCTGTTGTTTGGATGGGTTTTCTGCCCTAGAAGATAAGGGTCTTTTCCCAGCAAATTGGTTATAATTTAGCCTATTCATATAATTCACATTCCTGGTTCTGGTAGACGAGTCGACTTCCATTGGTTGTGGAGCCGGTTGTGGCTTTGGAGCTATTGGTCTTGGTGGTGCGTTAAAGAACTGTAGTGGTTGTTGGTGTATGGGTCTTGGAATGAAACCTGAATTCTGGGGGTTAAACTTAGGCTTTGGTGGATAGTACAGGTCCGGATTGAAGTTGGTTGGATTTTTTTATTTCTAATCGACTGGTTCTCAATCAGTCGGCACAAGTGAAGGGCATGTTTAAGGTCGGTTGGCTCTTTGATGGCTAATAACCTTGGTATGTCTGCGTTGAGACCTCTGATAAACGTATCTAACGCTTTGTCCCTATAAATCTTGGTAATAGCTCTTACGGTTTCTGCAGATGAATCATGGTTGTTCATCTGATTCAATATTAGAGACAGATGATAATAAACGGCTTGGAAAAATTCGTCTATTGATCGCCCATTCTGCCTAAGAGTATAGAGTTGGTATTCCAGTGTCTTAAGATCTCTGCGATCTGCAAAATGATCAGTGAGACATTGGGATATGGCTTTCCAATTTAGGGGGGTATTATACGCTTCTAATACAGCATCGGCTTGGCCAACTACTTTACTTCTTACTACCATTAAGATACCATAGTGCTTTGGTGTTCTCTGTACAGTAGAGTAGGCCTCAAATATCCTGTCTACACTTTTTCGCCATGAAGTGAATTCTGCTCTATTCCCAGAAAAGTCTTTTAAAACTCTTACAACGTCTGGTAACTTGTCTAACTCGTTGATTCGTCCCATATGTTCTGGGAGAATCGTCTGATCTTGTACCTGGATTAAGTAACTCGTCACCTTTCTCAGACAATATCTTCCTAAGGTATCTCTCTATCGTACTCTCAATTGGTTCGGTCAAGTAAGTTGGTTTTGTGGCACCTGTACTGGTGGATGGGAGTGTATTTTCTGGTGGTGGCATGTTTATTTTAGAGAATGCGGTCGTTAGTTCGTCAATGGTCACGGACAGATTTAAAGAATTTTTATCGAATCGGAAAATGATGGTGGTTTGTTTTCAGAAAAAGTTCTTGTAATCTTGATTGATGTTAGTAAATTCCTACGCGATCAACGCAGTGATCTTCCTGACTATCATTGTATGGCTTCACGGGCCATACGCTATACCGGGCAACTAGACGTCGCTCTACTACTTTAGAGTTTTCTTAAATACTAAGTGTTAAAGTTCAATATTTCTTGTTTATAAATCTTATTCACTATGCTTACAATATAATTTTTAGCATCGTTGACTCCCGCGATGATGGTCCGGATTGCTCGCTTTCGTCCAGTATTAGTGGTGTGTCTGTTATTAAAGATCCTGCGACGCACACTGTTTACGCGGTACCCTACGGGCGGACACTTATAGGGTGGCAACAATGTTTTTGACCCACGACCGTACCTCGTTTACGTAGAGTCACTCTTTCATGAACACGGCGTAGCTGCGGATTAAGCACTATTACGGATCGTTCGAATGCTCCCGTTAGCTACGGATTAGATACTAACGTTTCGATAGCTGCGGATTAGGCACTAAGGATGTTCGTCGCGTTCACTAGTAGCTATATTTCGTTATAGGTACTCTCGCGAACAATAGTTGGTACTATGTTTTTCGACGCGTAACTTTCTAAGATAACGATCGCGGGTCCCTGCTCGGGCGCCAATTAAATATTCGAAAGCGGTTTTTGGATTAAAAAAACATTTATTCACTTTCGGAGTTGGATTAGAACTAAACTTAAGAATAATTATACAAGTACTATTTATATGAAAGCTGCCGCTGCTGCTATTGGCGTCGCTGCCGCCGTGGTCACTGCTGTTGTTGCTGATAGGTGTCTTGTGACACGATGGCTCTCACGGTGGTGCTGATCGGTGCGCTGACTCGGCGCTCGTGGCGGAAATGCACACGTTGACCAGAATGTGTTTTGGCCAAGTGCATTGATCTTATTATTATTGCTGACGATAGGCTCCCACGGTTGCGGTTGCGTTTCTGTTGTATTTTGCTGACAAAGCGCACGTGTCAAAAGTGCATGCACTGGAGCTGTGGTATAATTGGGCCGGTGCAATGCCCTTTTGTAGGGTCTGTCGTTAACTTATACTATGGAGCACAAAAATATTTTGACAACGCATTGCAAAAACTCTAACAGCTTATTTCTATATTTTTCTATAATTATTTGCATGGCGGATTATCATTATTTGGGTGGACAAAAATATTTTGACATTAATAGTTATTTAATAAAGTGAGACAAAAACTTATTACCATTAAGTAACTAAAATATTAATAAGAATTAAACCCTCCTTTAGCATCTGCAAGCGTCTAGGGAGCGATCTAACCAAGTTTTGTACTGTTTTTATTGAAAAACCCTGCTAAAGTCCTCAAACCTCAGCAATCCGTCTCCCTGGGCGTTCTTGATAAGTCTAATCTACGTTTTACTTTTGCGTAAGCCTACACATTCTCTATAATATGGAGATCAGAGCGCTGAGGTGGCCAATCATATGTATTGACTTCAATATTCCCAGAAAATTCAGTTATAATATGGACCTTGTGGCATGGAGCACTGTCCTTCTGCAGTATACATGATTTTCTTCTTCTTCATTTTTTCATTAACTAATATCAAATTGGAGAGGTTATTGACACATGCGAACCCCCAGAGCATTACCGATTCTTCACCACGTTGGTACATAGGCCTCTTTTTTTGCGAATATTCTTTGGCAACCTGCTAAAAATAGTTGTTTTTTTTTATCCAGGATACTCAAAGGAACTATCGTCCATCCATAATACTTTTCCCCAGAAGAATTGCGGCTTGCCTATGAAGTTTTAGGAAATCGATACCTTTTTAGTTTATTTTATAGTGATATTAAGGGTATTGGAAGATCTATAACGTAGAAAAAATGGCCTTCTTTCGCCGACTTGTGATAGTTTTTCTGCTTATTGATAATTTATGATTATTTTTGAGTTTGACTTTTAGGAAAATCCGCACATTTTCTTTAAGATTTGTCAATATGATGCGGCCTTCTTCAGGTTTTTTTGAATGATCTTTCCGATCTGGCCTTGTTGTTTGAGTGAATCAGTTTTTTATTTTTTGTTAATTTAGTTGTAAATTGCTCATAGAGGTGCATTTTATAAGGTTGTAAGGTTTTCCAATACCTCCATTATTCTTCGTTCGCGACTAGTTTTTTAATGATTTGCCCATAATTTACCGAAAGCTATGATCAAATAATGGCTATTATTAAAGAGGACACCAAACATAACTTAATAAATAAAAAATATTTATTTTTTAATCCAAACAAATTACCGAAAATGAATTTGAAAAGGAATGTCAAAATACTTTTGTCCAGCCAAAGAATGACAATCTGCCATGCAAATAATTATAAAAAAATAATGAGTTAAATTATCACTGCAATATTTTAGGCACTTATAGCTTTTTATACTCATTCACGAAAGTGAAAAATTTATGTCAGTATATTGGTTTTGTGCAATGTCCGTCTGTCCGTCCGTCCGTCTGTCCGTATGAACGCAATCTATTTCGGCGCTATTGAAACTAGAGACTTGAAATTTGGAGCACTTACTCGTGTATATCTCCGAAAGTGTTAAAATTTTCCCAATCCGCCCACTAGGGGCGTGGCAAATCGGAAAATGCATTTTCCGATATACCAGAAATCATGTTAGTTAAAGAGCTAGAAAGCTGAAATTTGGTATGTAGGTCCGCGTCGACCACCCAAGATCACGAGCTATGGCGGATATATCTCCGCCCATTGGGGGCGTGGCAAATCGGATAAAACTGTATCTCCTAAAGTTGTAAACCTAGAATGCTGAAATTTTGCATGTCAGCTAATGTTATGATTCTATATAGTCTAAAAAATTATAAGTCTACGCCCATTAGGGGCGTGGCAAATCGGACCTGAAGATATAGTGATTTTTCGAACACTATTGATGCCAGAGATCTCAAATTTTTTATATATAGTCGGGCTGATCACCCAAGACCAAAAAACTTTGTAGGATATATGTCCGCCCACAGGGGGCGTGGCAAAAATTTATGTCTCCTAAAGTATAATAGCTAGAAGCTTCAAATTTGGATAGCTGAGTTACTGGTAGCCTCGTTTATCGATTCCCCAAAAAATAATTTTTACGCCTCTTTAGGGGCGTGGCATATCGAAAAATACCCTGTAATTTTCACTTTTTTTAGAGTAAGCATTCAAACTTTGCAGTTAGGGTACTGTTATCTCGTTCTAGAAACTGACCAAAAATGAGGTGTCTACGCCCAGTAGGGGCGTGGCAAATCGGAAAAACCTGTATCTTCTACAGTATTAGAGCGAAACTTAACTACTAAATTGTTGATGGGATGTGAATGAGTATTCCGCAGTCGGTAACGCCCGACTGCAACGTTCTTACTTGTTATGTTTGCTCGCTCTGAAAAATATATTGTAACAAGTAAGAAAGCTCTAGTCGAGACTACTCGACTACTAGATCTCCTGAACCCTTGGAGTAATAGCTATTTCAATAATTTTTCGCGTCTTTCAGCTTACACAAGAAACACGCACACACACCCACACGCACGCACGCACTCACGCACGCACGCACGCACACACGCACAGGCATACATACACACACATACATACACACACATACACACACACACATACACACACACATACACATACACAAACATTTACATACACATACACACACAAGCATAAATACGCATGGGCTAGTATTTGAAATACGCTTTTTCAAAAGTGATGGTGAGGGGGTGAATTTAAGGGTGGGGGGGAAATTTTAACAAAAACCGAAATTGTATAAATTGCATATAAGCATACATTAAAAATTTGGAGACTCTAGCAATAAAGGTTTAGAAGATTTAATTTTATAACTGGTTTTCGATAAGGTTTTTTATCGATAAGAAAAGATCGGGATGATATCGATTTTTAATGATAAACTTGATATGCGCGCTGTAATTACGGACATTTTAAAAAAAAATTTGAAGTCTCTATCTCTTATATCTTCTGAAATCGACGCGTTCATACATACGGACAGACGGACGGACAGACAGACGGATAGAGCCAAATCAACTCAGCTCGTCGCCCTGATCAAGAATATATATACTTTGTGGGGTAACCCACGCCTCCTTCTGCCTGTTACATACATTTCAACAAAACCATTATACCCCGATTTCCCATTGAAAATGCGTTGTCAAAATACTTTTGTCCTCCATTGTATAGTAAAATATTTGTACCAAAAATATTCATACAACGATCAATATTCCCTCGTGCGCTCTTTTGCATAGTTAATGAACGCTTTTTTACTCCACACGAGATACAATTAACTTTCTTGGGGCAAGGGCCGTTGCCCTTGATAGAAGGATTCTCCTTGTATCTGGATTAAATAATTGATCACGCCTTCACGCATAGCCTCAAACTGTTGCAATGTTGCTTGTGCTAACAAATATATGACCAGTATATTGAAAGCATTCCACTAATTTCGTGGTCGTAAATGGCGATTCGACTTTCTTTCCCGATAACCGTCGCACAAGGCAAATTGGGCAACGAGCCGATTTTTCGACAATTTTTTTTTTTTATTTTAAAGCTAGGCTTTTTTACGCAGTTAGCAGCGACAGCGCTTGGGCTAAAAGGTCTAAAAGTGTTCAAAATAGGCTGAGCAAAGTAAATTTTTCGAATATTCTCGATAAAAAAGTTATCGGATGAGTTATCGAAAAATTAAGATAAACTTGTACTGCCTATGGTATACATTATATCTTCTAAGATCGGCTTGCTCATACAGACGGACAGGGCTATAACGACTCAGCTCGTCGCCCTGATCAAGAATATATATACTTTATGGGGTCTTCGATGATTCCTTCTTCTTGTTACTTTTAACATTTTCAATGGGTTCAGGGTATAATAACAAAGCATTCAAAATTACGATAAGCATTTTGCATAAATATGTTTCTAAAAGTCATCTTTATCAATTTATATATACAGATTGGCAAGAAAGTGTTTACACACAGGGAAAAAATTTTAATTTTGTACTTTGAAGCGAAATACAAACTATAAGAATATGCATATTCAATTTTTTTTTTTTAACGAAAATAGGTAAATTAGACTATAAACTATATTAGTAAGTAAAAAAAAATAACAATATGTTTCCATTAACAAATGGAAATAACAAAAAACAAAAGAAGTAATAACAAGAACGTTGCAGTCGGGCGATACCGATTGCAGAGTACTCATTCACAGCCCAAACGCTGTCAACCAGAGTATATAGTGCAATTTGTAAGTCTCATTAAAATTGGAAAATCATCGATAGCTATTGCTATCATCATTGCATCATTGCTACTAGGATCTTCAAATTACATATATCATTTATACAATTTTAATTTTTATTATTTATTTATATACATATATTGGATACCGGCTTCAAGCTAGCAGCAGATCAGCGCGACTTTCCTATACATGTGCACACACACACATCGTCTATTCTCTGCGTAAAGACAGAAGCGTGCTTTTTCGCACATTCTTAGATTTTCGATTGATTTCTGAAATTTCTAGCCGTTACTGTGGTTTCGTCTGATGACGCTCTCTTAAGCTATTGTATTTTAGCTAAACGCGACGCAAGATATGTTAGAGTAGGTGAGGTTCATTTTTTATTAAATAGATATTTTATAATTTGTCTCTTCTTAAATAGCCCTCAAATATGTACATATACGCATATACATATGTGATGAATAATTAAACATTTCTTTATTTTATATGAACTATAACAGCCAATTGCTGGTACGCTCAACTTGTCCGTTCGTTTGCTTACTGAATACTAACATAAGTTAATCGACTTAACCGATAATTGATCTCGATGCGGCTCTTCATTCGCCGATAATAATGAAAGCTACAAATTATGCTAAAAAATGACAAATATGCTAAAAAATGATAAATGTGCAAAAAAATGACAAATGGTTTCTCAACATCCCGGCCCCCCCTGAAACTCCGTTTCAGAATGTGGTAGAGCTGCTATCTTCGTGATTGGTCGTATAATCTCTCCAGAAACGACCTTGAGTTTAACTGCCCGTACTAATCCATCCTCTCCTGGGTACACTTCGATTACGCGTCCTAAGTTCTATGTTGCTGGAAGCGTATGCGAATCCTTGATGAGTACAATGTCTCCAAGGGATATGTTAGGCATCTTGGTAGACCATTTGGGTCGTTGCTGCAATGCCGTTAAGTATTCCTGCTGCCAACGCTTCCAAAATCCTTGAAGCATTGCCTGAGTATGTTGCCAATATCCCAAGCGATTGGTTGGTACCTCTGCGTAGCTCCCATCTGGAACTGCAGTGTACGTCCGTCCGATCAGAAAATGTGCTGGTGACAAGAATCCAATTTCTGTGTCCGAAGTTGCGCATAATGGACGGGAGTTCACGACTGCTTCTATTTGTGTAAGCAGAGTGCGCATCTGTTCAAATGTAATCACTGTATTTCCGATCACTCGTCGCAAGTGTAGCTTCACGGAACGTACAGCAGACTCCCATTTTCCACCCCAATGTGGAGTATATGGTGGGATGAAATTCCACTTGATGCTTTGCTCCGCCAATTTCCTCGCTACCACTTCATTATGCTCGCGTGAAGTATGAAGTTGTGACATCTCATTTAATGTGCGCTTAGCACCGACGAAGTTACGTCCATTGTCGCTATACATTTCGGCAGGCTTCCCACGGCGGGCCATAAAACGTCTGAGGGCTGCCAGAAAGGTGTCTGTGCTTAGGTCAGTTGCCAATTCTAGATGAAGTGCTGATGTCACCATGCATACAAAGAGACAAATGTAGCCCTTCTCTTTACGCGGGTTGCGTCCCTTGTGTACCTTTAGCAAGATAGGTCCAGCATAATCGACTCCAATGTGCTCGAATGTAAAGGCCTGCCGCACGCGAGTGGCAGGTAAGTTAGCCATAAGCTGTTGTGTAGTATGATGACGCTGCTTGAAACAGTTTAGACATTCATGCGTGATTCGTCGGATGAGGTTTCTGGATCCAAGTATCCAGTACTTCTGACGAATTATAGCAAACATTGCCGAAACTCCAGGATGAAGGTTGAACTGATGCTCATGCTTCAGTAACAGCTCAACTAGTCGATGATGGTTAGGTAGTACAATTGGGTGTTTGGCATCTCTAGATAGGTAAGAGTTTTCTAAGCGTCCTCCAACTCGAATAAGGCCATCCTGGTCAACAAATGGAGCTAGCTTGCTCAACTTGGAACGGTGCTGCAGCGGTTGCTTCTTCAACAAGCGCTGCCGATCAACAACAAATGCGTTTTGTGCTTGCCCTAGACAAAACTTTCGTGCTGCGTCAATTTCGTGGAATGTCAAGGCTGCTGAATGAAGTGAGTTTCTTGATCGGACGCGATGTACAAAGCGCCGGACGTATGCGATGATTCGAATCAGTCGCAGCCATGATGATACTCTAGTAAGTAAAGCATCAAAGGGGGACGATGCCATGTCCTCCGTTACCGTCAGAATATTGGCCTTGAATTCCGCTTCTGCTGCTGGCGGCACGATAGAACAGCAGAATTTTGATCGTCGAAGCATCTCCAAACACTCCTGGGAATCATGTAGCCAGGACGGTCCCTTCCACCATAAGTCAAATTTAAGAAGGTCACCGGCGAGCATTCCTCGGGATGCACAATCTGCAGGATTTTCCTTGGTACTCACATGCCTCCAAGCGTCCCGTGGGATTGTCTCAAGTATTTCTGCCGTACGATTGGCTACGAACATCTTCAATTTACAGGGTTGATTTGACAGCCAGGACAATACGATTGTAGAATCGCACCATGCATATACCTTCACTTCCTTCTTGCCCAAACTAGCTTGAATTGCCTTAACAAGTCTAGTCAGCAGTAGAGTTCCACACAGCTCGAGGCGTGGCAGCGTTGCTAGTTTTAAAGGTGCGACGCGAGTCTTAGCAGCAACAAGATATACTCCTATAGAGCCGTCACTATACTCAACTCTGCTGTAGACGACCGCAGAGTATGCCTTAAGCGAAGCGTCTGAGAATGCATGTAACTCGATGTGATCCATGTGACTGTCTATGAAGCGAGGTATCTTGAGCTGTTGTAGCGACGAAATGTCCTTGCGATATATCTGCCAAGAGTGCGCCTGTTTCATCGGAAGTTCAGAGTCCCAATCCAAATCAAGCAACCAAAGTTCTTGCAGTAGAATCTTGAATTGGACTACCACTGGTGCCAAAATGCCCAGAGGATCAAAAATGTGTGCTACATCGGATAGCACTTGTCGCTTTGTACAGCTTGCAGTCTCCGATAATACAATGTTGTATGCAAGGTTGTCTTCTCCAGGATCCCAATGTAGTCCTAATACCTTAGATGTTGCTGTTGACATGTTGCCTCTATCACCTTGCGCGGTGCATAGACGTGTGCTATTTGAGATCCATTTTCCCAATTCCAATTGCGCACGTGACATGAGTGCAACCAGCTCAGTTTGAATGTTTATAAGTTCTTCCTCTGTCATGGCTCCTGTTAATACATCGTCCACGTAGAAATCCTCAAGTAATATCTTAGCTGCTCTAGGAAACTCATGCTCGTGGTCCTTGGCAAGTTGTTCTAACACCCGGACTGCGAGGAATGGCGCAGACGCAGTCCCGTATGTAACTGTGCAGAGTTTGAAGTGTTTCAATGGTGCTGATGGATGTTCTCTCCATAATATTCGTTGAAAGTCCTGATGTTTAGATGCAACCAAAATTTGTCTAAACATCTTCACAATATCAGCCGAAAATACAAACTTGTGCATTCGAAACCTCATGCATACGTTGAAGAGATTGCGTTGTATACATGGACCAATATGAAGCGCATCGTTTAGAGACCGACCATCTTGGTCTTGAAATGAGCCATCAAATACCACACGCAGCTTTGCACCTAGCACTGGATGGTGCGGCATGTAGAAAACCTTTTTCGAAGTGGCGTCTTCTTCTGCATCCACCTCTTTCATGTGATCCAGTTGTATGTACTCCCTCATAAATTGCACATACTTCGATCGTAAAACTGCATCCCTCATTAAACGACGTTCAACTGCCAAGAAGCGAGACTTGGCTCCATGATAGGTGTCTGCAAACTCTGGGTTTCCTTGCTTAAATGGTAGCTCGACGATGTATCTCCCTTCGGCATTACGGGAGTGTGTTTGGACGAAATGAGTCTCCAATAACTCATCTTCTTTATTGGCAGACGTGAACGATGGAAGTTCTTCCAGTTCCCAAAACCGTTGCAACAATGTGTTGATGTCCATGGTAGCTAGGAGTGACGTAGTTGTAGTTGTACACGCTCCTGCCACTGATGTGATGATCCATCCAAATATTGAATCAATAGCAATTGTGTTCCCCTGAAGATTACACAACTTATCTCCAGTAAGAACCGTCCAAATGTGATCGTTGCCAAGCAAAATGTCGATTGAAGCGTTGGTATTAAATGCGGCGTCTGCCAGGGTGTGGCCGCTAAACATAGAGAGGTCTGCTGCATTTATAGTTTCTCTCATCAGTGTCGAAGTAATGTTTCCAAGCACGTGTGCCTTGACCACAAGAGATGCATCTGACACTCGCGACTTGATGTGTAGTGAACAGAGCCCTCTTGTTGTTTCTGCCTTGATTGATGATATTCCAGATATAGAGATGCGAGAGTGTGAACGGGCCAGACCCAATGTCTGGATACACCGTTCCGAAACGTAGGACAACTCCGAGCCGCAGTCCAACAATATGCGGCAAACAACGTCTTGTCCTCGAGAATTGCGCACATACACCTGAGCCGTTGGCAGTGTACTTCTCATATTTGCACCCTTGCCACCTTTTGAAGTATTAACGGCGTTCGTCAGTGCTACTACTGTGCTAGCACCTGGTGCCTCATTTGAATCATCCTGCTGATGTTGCTGTGGGTCATCTTTGTCCTTAGTGTTACGTTGGTCGAAGTGCAAGAGTGAGTGATGTCGGCGCTTGCAATGCTTACAAGATGACTTCGATGTGCAAGCGCTCACTCCATGGCCAAGTCTCAAACAATTAAAGCACATGTGTTTGGACTTTGCAAAGGCATATCGCTGCTGAATAGATAAATCCAAAAATTGTGTACATGCCATCAATGCGTGTTCCTTGTTGCACTTTGCACAGCGCTCTGAAGTGGCGAGTAGCGCATGTGCGTTCCTGGTACCTCTGTCCTGTCTAGGCTTGCTGCTTGTCGTAGTTGCAGATTGACTGAGCTCCAGCCGATCACAACGTGCATCCAGGAACTTGAGCAACTGCGTTATCGTAGGATTTGCTATATCTTGACTCTTTTCGTACCATTCACGACGTGTGGTGTCATCAACCTTTGCCATGAGCAAGTAAATCAGCCAACAATCCCGATCCGTTAGTCCAGAGGCGTCTAATGCCCGAATTACGGTACCAGCTTCGTTTGTTAGCGATCGAAGCGATGCTGGGTTTTGATCCGCAACCTTGGGCAGTCCAGTAAATGTATGCAACAACACGTTTACCAAATAGCGAGGCTTCTCGTACCGGTCAACTAATGAATTCCAAGCTACTTCATAGTTGGCATCGGCTAAGGGCAGATGCTGAATAAGTTTCGCAGCTTCTCCTTTTAAACAAGATTTTAAGTGATGATACTTCTGGATATTCGTCAACGTTGTCTTGCTGTGAACGGCACTGTCGAATAGACCCTTAAATGCGTGCCATTCTTTATAATCTCCATCAAATGGTGTGATATGAATCCGTGGCAGTTCCCAATCCTTCACTGATGGTCCTGCGCCTTGCTGTGAGCCTGACGGTGACTCGTTATCCACCTGCCGTGGTAGCAGTCGTTGCATTAAGGCCTCCATAGTCTCCATTTGCATCTGCTGCATTTGTTGCATTTGCATCTGAGACTGTTGCTGTAATTGTTGTATTTGTATATGAGACTGTTGCTGTATTTGTTGTAAAATGCCTTGGATGGGCGAATTATCTACTTCCCCATGTACATTAGATGTGGTATTGGCTTCTTCCAGTTTGTGGGGTTTGTACTCAGCGTGCAGTGTCTTAAGAAGAGCACAAGCTCGTTCAAAGCGCTCCTCATATACATTGTTGTCACTTGCTGGATCGACATATCCCTGCACATCTTCATATTTATAAAGTTCGTCACCAAGGTTGACAAACTGCTTCCAAACTTGAACCAGCGTGTCCAATTTTGTATCAATATCGTAGAAGGTGCAGCCCTCAGGTGGATGCTCCGCATATCCAGAAATACGAGTAATTGTTGCCTTCAATCTACCTCTGGCTCCCAGTAAAGTCCGTAGATTTTCCATTGTAGCTTGCTGCGTTGCCAGCAGTCAATCCAAGTTGTCCAGAATAGCCAGGTATTAAATTAATGTGATGAAATTGCTGCGTCTCTAGCAGCCGAACAAACCATTACGACAAATCACCGCGCTTTCCAATAGTGCGTACTGCGTATTACGTATGATGCCAAATATCGATACGTAATTCCAAGAATTTGCAATTGCTGCGTCTCCAGCAGCAAAAACACGACAAGACAAAACACGTCACTTTTCCAATAGTGCGTATTGCGTATTACGTATGATGCCAAATATCGATACGTAATTCCAAGAATTTGCAATTGCTGCGTCTCCAGCAGCAAAAACACGACAAGACAAAACACGTCACTTTTCCAATAGTGCGTGCTGTCTATTACGTATGATGCCAAATATCGATACGTAATTTCAAGAATTTGCAAATGCTGCGTCTCCAGCAGCAAATACAATACAAGACAAAACACGTCACTTTTCCAATAGTGCGTGCTGTTTATTACGTATGATGCCAAATATCGATACGTAATTCCAAGAATTTGCAATTGCTGCGTCTCCAGCAGCAAAAACACGACAAGACAAAACACGTCACTTTTCCAATAGTGCGTATTGCGTATTACGTATGATGCCAAATATCGATACGTAATTCCAAGAATTTGCAATTGCTGCGTCTCCAGCAGCAAAAACACGACAAGACAAAACACGTCACTTTTCCAATAGTGCGTGCTGTTTATTACGTATGATGCCAAATATCGATACGTAATTTCAAGAATTTGCAAATGCTGCGTCTCCAGCAGCAAATACAATACAAGACAAAACACGTCACTTTTCCAATAGTGCGTGCTGTTTATTACGTATGATGCCAAATATCGATACGTAATTTCAAGAATTTGCAAATGCTGCGTCTCCAGCAGCAAATACAATACAAGACAAAACACGTCACTTTTCCAATAGTGCGTGCTGTTTCCAACAACTCCAAGTGAGCATTCAATAGCAATGCCCAACGGCTCCGGCTCGAAGGACCAAATTTATGATGAATAATTAAACATTTCTTTATTTTATATGAACTATAACAGCCAATTGCTGGTACGCTCAACTTGTCCGTTCGTTTGCTTACTGAATACTAACATAAGTTAATCGACTTAACCGATAACTGATCTCGATGCGGCTCTTCATTCGCCGATAATAATGAAAGCTACAAATTATGCTAAAAAATGACAAATATGCTAAAAAATGATAAATGTGCAAAAAAATGACAAATGGTTTCTCAACAATATGTATATATGTAAATATGTATATACAGTGAAGAACTAAATTATTGGCACAGTAAGGTTTTTAAACTTTATAGCAATTTTTCAAGTATTTTGAAACTTTTTTTTAATGAAACAAAAAATTAACCAAATAGAATAGGGAATTTTTTAAATTATACAAAAAAAATATTCCGAAAAACTTCATCGTATATTTTAAAAAAATTAAATAACAAAAAAAAAACAAACAAAACAAAAAAAGAAGCGTTTGGACTACGCTAAGGACTATTTTAGCAAGCCACCTTATTGAAGTCAAGTCTTCTTCAGTGATGAGTGGAAATTCAATATATTTCGATCGGATGGGCGTTAAACTGCTTAGAGAATGCCGAATACTTCGTTTCACAATAACAATATTACGTCAAGCGTTAAGTATGGTGGTTTTGGGGTGATGGTCTGGAGTTGTATATCTGCTGTAGGTGTAGACGGTATTTGTATACGGTATAGTGGACAAACATTTGTATCTAAATATTTTGAGTGATAACCATTAAAAAAATTCTGAAAAGCTACAACTGCCAAGCTCGTTCACATTTTAACATGACAATGACCCCAAGCATTTCTGCCCACATCGTCAAAATATGGCTGGCGTATAATACCGCCCATGTGTTACCGCACCCATCACTATCTCCAGACCTAAATAGAATTGAACGCTTGTGGGAAGAATTGGATAGGCGCATCTCAAAACGGGTAATAACAAAACAAGCTGACCTAAAACAAGCTTTTATTGAAGAATGGCAAAAAATTAGTGAAGACGTCACTCAAAAATAATTTTTTTTGATGTCAAACCTATTATAGCCATTATTAAAGTTTAAAGGATACATACCCAATGCTATTTATAGTTATTATCAAATTTTTTCATAACATTTTTATGTTTTTAATTTTAATTTTTTTGTGTGCCAATAATTTTGTTTAGCAAAATCGAGGTTTATTTTTGATTATTGAATTTAAAAAAAAAAGTACGTTGAAGTTTTTCTCAATATTTTTACTATATACAGTGCTTATCATAATTATAGCCCACTTTTAATCCACTGAAACGAATCTGCTGAAAATTTTTCCCAAATGGCATATTTCCTCAAAATCCTCAAAAATGAGAAGTTCAATACTTCAATTATGAATGGCAAAAAACTTTTTCACTTAAAATTTACGATTTAATAATGATTTCTTAAAAAGATGTAAAAAAACAAAGAAAAACAGCACCATTTGCTGTATCAAAATTATAGCCCATATTCATATTTTGGTAAAAAAAATCAGAATTCGTTGATTGATGGAAAAACTAATGTTAATACTTAGTCCGGCCTCCATTTGCCTTAGTTAACTCGAAAACTCTCTTCCTCATTGAAACCACTAAATTTAATAAAAGGTCCTTTTCGAAACTTTGTCATTCATTTAGAATTTGCGTTTTAAGGTATCCAACTGTCTCCAACTGGCGATTTTTGGCATACACACGTCTTGCAAGATTACCCCAGACATTTTTATCGGGTTGAGATCCGAAAAACATGCTGGCCAGTCAAGGACATCAACATGACATTCCTCCAAACACTCTTTTGTACGTCTGCTCACATGGATTCTGGCATTATCCTGTTAGAAAACCATTGGTTTCTCACGTAATTCCCTTGAATATGGAATGAGACTACTATCCATAGCCTGAATATACTCTTCACTGTTCATTCGGTTCGTTACAAACTTTAATTCCCAGGTACCAAATGAAAAAAATGTACCCCAAATCATGACTGAGCCACCTCCAAAGTCTGTCCTTGAAAAAAACATAGTATCCTTCCTCAAATCATGCTAAAAAGTATCAAACCCATCAGGACCATCCAGGTTAAACTTCTTCCCATCAGAAAATATGACCTGTTAGGGTAACAATTTATAAATATACTGTAAGCCGAAAGACGATTATACAAACGGGCGTATGTCAGATCGGTCGCAGTATGTCCTTCGGCAAAACCAAGTCGAGCAACCTTGTGGCGACTTAGCAACTTGGGTGGTTTGGTCAGTTTAGATCTCTTTATGATTCCTGAGCTCTTAAGTACTCGCCAAACACTCATCGCTGACATAGATTCGGCCACATGTGCGGCCAAAGCTGTACAAGCGGTCGAGCTATTGCTGGCTTTCTTAATAATTTTGCGTTTAGTGTGCGCAATTAGTAACGGTTTTCACCCAGTACGTCTTCTTGATTCTTATTCTTCGGGGTTATCCAAAAAAATTTTAATTACACTTTGACTTTTTTTCAAAATTCGAAAAATACTCGAAATAGTCTCTCCTGACTTGTGACATACACATGCATCCAGACGCGCGTATAACAACGCGCTCTGCTAACTGCGCAGTAAGCAGCGACTGCGCTTGGACTGCGCTGCAGTGTGAGCAATATTATGAGAATTTATTTGTTGAATAATTTCTTTTGTAGACATACAATCTTAATGAAACTTTTAGAGCGTAATCATATGGTAAAAATGAGCAGAAGAACCCCTTTTCAATGGGAAATCAGGGTATAATGGTTTTGTTGAAATTTATGTTACAGAAGGAGGCGTGGCAGACCCCACAAAGTGTATATATTCTTGATCAGGGTGACGAGCTAAGTCGATTTAGCTCTGTCCGTCTGTCCGTCCGTCCATATGTTTGAACGCGTGGATCTCAGAAGATATAAGAGCTAGAGACTTGAATTTTTTTTCCTAGGTCCGTGTATAGCACGCGCATATGTATGTGTGTATGTGTGTATGTATGCATGTGTGTGTTTGTGTGTGTGCGTGTGTCTAGTGTAAGCAGAAAGACACGAAAAATGATTGAAATATCTATTGCTTGAAGCGTTCAGGGGATGTCGTAGTCGAGCAGTCTCGACTAGAGCTTTCTTACTTGTTTATTATATTACCTTTTATAATTTCATTGTTTTATATATTGCTTAAGACGATTTACTAGAAACTAAACACATCTCGTTGGTAAATATAATGAATTTTTGATAATTTTTGCTGCCCATATATTTCTTATTATCCGTACTTGACTAACGCAGTGGTCCTCCTGTCTCAACAATGGTTGCTGCCTGTTCAGGTTAACTTTCGTTGTTAACATATTGGTTCCACAAACTTATGGTAATAAGATTGACGTAAGGTCTTCAATAAAGGAAGATCCTGTCACGGTGACCATATAAAATGATGTACACGTGCAGTGTCAGCTCCGTTTTGAAAGAATTCTTAAACTCTTAGAATATTGACTGAAGCTAAAGACCATTTCTGTTATATCAACAATAATTGAACGAATAAACTTTACTATGATGATGTTTAGTTTCTTTATTCTTAGACTCGTGCATATCTTCAAACCTTATATTTAGTGTGTCTATTGCTGAGTTCGTATGTGTGCTTAAAATGGACTTCAGAATGATATCAGTTCTATGCAGGATTTAAGGGATCTCCGAGCGGAGCAGTCTCGACTATAGCACTCTTACTGGTTATAATTAAAATGCACCCCCATATATGCATATGCTGTTTGATGTGTCCAGAAAAGAAGCGAAGAAATATAAGTATCTCGAAGGGTTCGGGAAATCTCGTAGTCGAGAAGTCTCGACTAAGGTTTTATAAATTTTTGTTTTGTTTTGATAGTAATTATTTTAAAATATATTAAAATATAATAATAATAATAGTATAATATTTTATTTCCAGTCTACGACAAACCAACCACAAAACGTGCACTCACCCCAAAATCGTTTCTCACAAAACTCATTAGTGGATGATGACCTAGGTAACATTTTAACTATATTTCCTTTACATTTCATGCACATAAAACGATATTGTACATACAGAATATAATAAGGTTGCGAAACGATTTTTTATTATTTTTTTATTTTATTTATTTATTTTTTAATATATATGAAATTTAAAGGAATAGTTTTTAATATGTTTGCGAAATATTACGAGGAATGGTCACCAACAAAGTCGGAGATATATTCAATAATTTATTCCAAAAATACTTCAACAAATTTTATTAATGCTCAATAATTTGTCGAAAAATAATTTTCAGTTTATAAAATTATCGGAATAAATATTAGATGTAGGTAGATACACACACTGCGCGTCATCAGGTTATCGCCCCCCTTTACACTCAACCTAAAAGCTAAATAAAAGCTAAACCATCAGAGCTTCATCTTTAATGTCAATTTGTATACTCATTCATGAAAGTGAAATGCATTTTCCGATATGCCAGAACTCATATTAATTGAAGAGCTAAAAAGCTGAAATTTGGAATGTAGATCCGCATCGACCACCCAAGATCACGAGCTATGACGGATATATCTCCGCCCATTGGGGGCGTGACAAATCGGATAAAACTGTATCTCCTAAAGTTGTAAAACTAGAATGCCTAGATTTTGCACGTCAGCTAATGTTATGATTCTATAAAGTCTAAAGACAAAATTATATGTCTACGCCAATAAGGGACGTAGCAAATCGGACCTGAAGATATAGTGATTTTTTAAATTCTGCTATATTTTGTTGATATACAGTGATGAGCAAAACTGTAACACGAATTCAATGTTGCAACTTCAAGGGTCTGTATTTTTGCTTCTACTCTATGGATGTTTGAGATCTTAATTTTATTTTGTTAATATGATATTTAGCTGTATTGCCTGAAAATTTGAAATCATTCGGTTGGCTGGAATAATTATAAGAAGTATAAATGTAATGAAAGTCAAATGTTACAGTTTTGCACCCTGGTCATTTTTCAACAAATATATTTATTAATAATTTTTTAATAATGAATACATGGCCCTTGTCATTTTTTTAGTTCATTAATGCCATTTGCTATCAATGTTGTATACCCTCGCACCATTTTAGGAAGGATCGCGCGCCAAATGTCCTTGTTCCTCTCCCACGGCTCTTTCATTCCACTTGGAGCCACCCATAATTTGCAGGCTGCAATTTCAAATGACTCCATATAATTTCAATGATATTCATGTCTGACGAGTATTGAGGACACTTCAGGGACTTGAATCCTTGCCATATTGTCCACTTGATGACCAAATTAGACGTGTTCTTTGAGTCATTGTTCTGCATTTTTCAGTAGTAAAACCCATATGTTCACCTAATTCTCCCAAATTTGTTGTAAAGTGATCAGGTACTATGCCGAAATGTTATTCCATCGATTAAAACCAAGAGTTCTAGCACAATCTTTGTTTATTCTCCCTTAAACCAAAAGTGAGCAGATGACATTAATGACCAAAAAAAAGTCAAAATAGCTATGCATTTATTATTAAATAATTATTAATAAATATATTTGCTGAAAAATGACCAGGGTGCAGCATTTGACTCTCTTTACATTTTTATTTTTTATAATTATTCTAGCCAACTAAATGATTTCAAATTTTTAGGTAAGACAGCCAAATATCATACTAACAAAATAAAATTAAGATCTCAAACATCCATCGAGTAGAAGCGAAATTACAGACCGTTGAAGTTGCAACATTGAATTCGTGTTACAGTTTTGCTCGTCACGTATATTGATGCCAGAGACCGCAAATTTTGTATATATACTCGAGCTGATCACCCAAGACCAAAAAGCTTTGTCGGATATATGTCCGCCCATAGGGGGCGTGACAAACCGCTTAAGTTTATATCTCCCAAAGTATAATAGCTAGAAGCTATTTAAATTTAGATAATTAAGTTAACAGTAACCTCCTCTATCGATGACCCAAAAATAATTTTTACGCCTCTTTAGGGGCGTGGCATATCGAAAATACCCTGTAATTTTCGCATTTTTTTAACGTAAGCATTCAAACTTGCAACCTCGTACTAAAAACTGACCAAAAATGAGGTGTCTACGTGGCGTGGCAAATCGGAAAAAAACCAGTGTTTGAAAAGCTGACAGTCACAGCAGCAACAGTCGTAAAATTTTGTCTGTGCTGTGCTTCTGCAGCTAACAGTTTTCGCAGTTCCGTTATTGCTTGAACTGTTGCTGCGAGCATTTTCGACAGTCGCAGTCGCAGCAAAAGCAAAAAACAATTATAGATCAGCAGCGCAGGGCTTCGAACTGCGTTCACTGGCGACAGTCGCAGTCGCAGCTAGAGAAAAACTGTCGACTGCCGAACAGCACAGCACAGCACAGACAGCTTCCACAGTTTTTGCTGTTCGGCAGTCGACAGTTTTTCTCTAGCTGCGACTGCGACTGTCGAAAATGCTTGCAGCAACAGTTCTAGCATTCTCAAAACTGTCGAAGCTGTTAATTCCCGAAGCGCTGCACTGCTGATCAAAAAATGTTTTTGCTCTTTCTGCGACTGCGAGTGTCGAAAATGCTCGCAGCAACAGTTCAAGCAATAACAGAACTGCGAAAACTGTTCGTAGTTTTTTAAACACTGAAAAAACTGTATTTTCTACAGTATTAGAGCGAAACTTAACTACTAAATTGTTGATGGGATATGAATGAGTATTCCGCAGTCGGTAACGCCCGACTGCAACGTTCTTACTTGTTACTACTACATCTATTTCTCTTTAAAATAAAAATTTAAAAAATGGCTACTGTAACAATAGGGAATCATTTAAAAAAATTTTTTTTTTTAAATGTACAAAGAAAATGTAACAAAAATTTGGTCATCAGATTAGCGTTCACTGCGGTAAATTCAATTTATTTAAATTAACGACCAAAAATAACACCTGTATTTTAAGCTATTATTACTCTTAAGTAATATTAGTAGTGCGTAGTGCCGCCTTTCTTTAAAATTACTTCAAGAATTCGATTAGGAATGGAATTATAAAGTTGTTCACTATAATTCAAGGATATGGTTGACCATGCGTGTTCAATACCTTCGATTAACTATGTCTTTGTACTATAACGTTTTCCGGACTCATACACTTTCCTGAACGACCATCCCCAGACGTTTTCAATGATATTAAGGTCGAGTGAGTATGATGACGACTCCATGAGATAAATTTTTTGGCTCTGAATCCAGGACTTCAGGGATCGGGTGGCCTGAATTGGAGCATTGTCATGCTGGAAAATCTAATGCCGCTTTTCAGACAGGTTATAGAAATGCAGAACAGCAATTTTAAACACGGTGTTATAGTCCTATGCATTCATGCGCGATGTCCAAAATTTAAGCTTGTAAGTGCCGTGAAATCACTTGATTATTACCGCCTATATAGTTTTCTTATTTTGAAGAAAATTGCCTTTTGGTTTTCTGTTTTTTAGTGTCTTTTCACCAATTCTATGGTAGCATAGTCCAGATTCAAAGTTTGCCTCAATCTTTAAATATTTTAACCAGAGATAAAATTTTTTCTTTACCCATACTATAAATATATTGAGTACTTTGAGCTTAACAAGAAATGTGGTGAGTGTAATTTCCAAAATAAGCAAGATAATTACAATTGCATTTGGGGGCGCTAATCTGATGACGCAAAACAAGTGCACGCATTCTTTGCGAAAGTGAAGAAGAATAGAAAATAAAACATAACGGGTTTTCACTTGCGTTTTATTTTTTTTTGTATGAGAGACATCTTATATGATGATAATGAAATCAAAACAAAAACTAAGAAGTTTCGTGCAATAGGCAAACAAAAAAAACCTAAAAGAAAATGAATGTAAGGGGGGGGCGCTAACCTGATGACGCACAGTGTATGTATTAAATGTGATTAGACTTTTTCACTTTCTTCACTTCTTTATGACTTAAACTTTTTAGTTGTTCTTAATAAGTATAAGTAATAAGTTGAAGGCAGAAGGCATAAAATATACATATTTTTGTTCGGGGCGCTGAGCTCAGTCGATATAGCCATGTCGATCTCCAGAACCTACAAGATCTATAGATTTATTTTTGGTACGTCATGTATGACTCGACCATGCGAGTTTGTTTTAGAAATATTCCCATAGTAGGGTAAGTGTGTAAGCTTATTAAATCTTTTTTATAAATATCCTTAGTAGTACAGTCGCCGAATAGTGCATTTAGTTTTGTTTGTGTTTAATAGATGTTTTATTTTAATATTTTTTTAATAGTAGCTCCAAATTTTACCGAATTTTTTTTATTTAAGGTCTGTTACAAGTATGGCTCGTATGGAATTGAGTTAACAAACTGACAAATAAGAGAGCAGTAGTAGAATATCTAATTCAAATAATTAAGTTACAAATAAGCTAAACAAAACATTAAAGCGTCAAAAGTTTTTCTATACGTGCATAAATATACAAATGTGACTACGTATGAATTCGATGTCGTCGACAAATATCTCTGAAGTTTTCTTATTTTTTATAATTTATTGTGTTATTATTATAGGTTTCGATCCGTTTATTGAAACACAAAAGGGATTTGCTGAACTTATGGAAAATGAAGTAGTTCAACAGAATATTAATGGAATTGGACCAAAGTTACAACAGCAAACACAACTTCCTCATCAAATTCTTGATAACATGCAACGCACCCGAATGCCGCCACCTGGATTTAATCATATGAATTCATTAGGATTTGACGGTGCAAACAAAGTACACTCGAGTAAAATTTTTCCCTTTATTAATATGCCAAGCAGCTCGGTTGGAAATAGCACTGCGCAAGTCGAACAACATCCACTGGCAACCAACTGGAGCTCGCATTTGGCAACATTACAACAACCCCAAGCAGCGCCGATAAATGACTCCCATTTACAGCACCAAATTGCCCAAGCTAACATCCATAATAAGGGTAAATAAACAGAAATTTATTAAATGAATAGAAAGCAATTTGAAAATTTTGTGTTTAACATCATAAGAGCCACTTTAACAATTTGAATAAATAAATATTTTAAATATAAATATTACTTATTATATAGTTGGCCTACTATATTGAAAATTAACGTTTTCCCCATATACAGATATTAAAATATGAAAAAAATTAAAATAATATTTAAAATATCCTAACATCTTTTCCATCTAGGATATAGTAGCAGTGACTGGACTGCAATGGACCCTGCTATTTTGTCATTTAGACAGTACTCATCCTTTCCCCATCAAGCTCAAATGCCTCACCATCCACAGCAAGATATATTTCTGCAACATTTGGCTCAAAATCAACAGCAAAATGGACAAGGTAAAATAAGGATGCGTAATTATTTTTTAGCTTTTATTATAATTATTTGTTGTATAGGAGTGTTCAGCAATCAATCCCAACAAGTGATTCCTGGTATGAGCATGACCAGCAATATTATCAATGGGCAGTCCACATCTCAAACACAGGTGAATGCAAATGTTCAGGGTATGCTGGAGTTCTTGAAAAACCGACAATTTGTTTAAATCTTTCTTCTAATTATTGATTGGTTTACCTGTACTACTTTTAATACACTATTGTAATTCATACATTGTAAAAAATCGAATATACAAATTAAAGCACATCGGACTTTTTATTTCAATATTTATGCTTTTTATACCCTGAACCCATTGAAAATCAAGGTAGAATGGAAAATCAAGGTATAATGGTTATGTTAAATATATGTAAGGGGCGTGGCAGTATATTTATTCAGTATATATATGTATTCTTAATCAGCTGAGTCTATTTAGCTCTATCCGTCCGTCCGTCTTTCCGTATGTTTGAATGAGTCGATCTAAAAAGATATAAAAACTAGAGACTTGAAATTTTTTCAAGTTTTTCTCCAAAATTGATAACTTGTCCCCTTATTTTCTGATCGACTAAAAACATCGAAAATTATCAATAAAGATTTAGAATCGAAACATTTTAAATGTAGATTCATATGTACTTAACAGAAGTTCGATTTTTGTTATAATTCAAAACACCAAAAAACCCTCCCCCACCCTTATGTCGATCCCCTCTCCCATAAATTGTTTAAAGGAGTATGTCAAATAGAGACTTGAGCTTTGGCAAATGTATTCATTTCAATGTTATAATCACGATATAAAAGTTTGATGAAGATAGTCTATCCAGTTTTCAAACAATTAAGTTCCCTTAGTAAGCCTACACTGCACTATAGGAAACAAGTAAGAAGGCTCCGGTCGAGACTGCTCGACTAGGAGATACCCTGAACCCTCCAAGCTGATATTCTAATCATTCTGCACTTCTTCTATGCACACATACATACACATGCATCCAGACGCGCGTATAACAACACGCTCTGTTAACTGCGCAGTAAGCAGCGACTGCGCTTGGGCTGCGCTGCAGTGTGAGCAATATTATGAGAATTTATTTGTTAAATATTTTCTTTTGTAGACATACGATCTAAATTAAACTTTCAGAGCGTAATCATATGGTAAAAATGTGTGTACATTCCAGAGCACAAGTCTCTAGTACTTGAAATGCGTTTTTTTACAAATTGGGGGCGTGGTATCCAAAATCTGTAAATTACAAAATCTTTGTATCTATTAACATTATATACAACGCAAATTTGAAGACTCCAGGTCTAAAAGTGTTCAAATTAAGCTGAAAAAACAAAATCAAATTTTCGATTATTCTCGATAAAAAAGTTATCGGATGAGTTATCGAAAAAAAAGCAAACTCGTACTGCGTATGGTATACACGCGTATGCATGCCAAATTTCAGGTCTCTAGTTCTTATAAGTTCTGAGATCGACGCACTCATATGGACGGACGGATGGACGGACAGACGGACAGGGCTATATCGACTCAGCTCGTCGTGCTGATCAAGTGCGATGACTCCTTCTGCCCGTTACATACTTTTTCACAAAACCATTATACCCTGATTTTCCATTTTCAATGGGTTCAGGGTATAAAAAGCCCGAAATTTTGGCATTAATTCTAAAAATAGAGCTAGGAGGTTGAAATTTTACATACACCTAAGAAAGATTAATTTAGAATTTCGAATTTTTTTCTCTACGATTAGACCACGCCTTCTCCCCGCCACCTTGTTACTTAATAATTCAATCATGAGTTCTTTAGACATAATTTTTACTAATATTCAACATAAAGCTTACAGCACATATTTTTATACCCTGAACCCATTGAAAATGGGAAATCAGGGTATAATGGTTTTGTTAAAAGTATGTAACAGGCAGAAGGAGGCGTGGCAGACCCCACAAAGTATATATATTCTTGATCAGGGCGACGAGATGAGTCGATTTGGCCCTGTCCGTCTCTGTCTGTCCGTCCGTCCGTATGTATGAACGCGTCGATCTCAGAAGATATAAGAGCTAGAGACTTGAAACTTTTTTTCCTAGGTCCGTGTAAATCACGCGCATATCGAGTTCTCTAAATATCGATAACTACTCCCGATATTTTATTATCGATCAAAACTCTTATCGAAAGCTAGTTATTTAAATGTTTTTTATATAATTTCGATTTTTGTTAAAATTTACCCCCCACTCCTATTTCTACCCCCTCACCATCACCTTCGTAAAAGGCGTATTTCAAGTACTAGAGACTTGTGCTTTAGAAAGTACATACATTTTCCCCATATGATTACGTTTTGAAAGTTTCATTAAGATTGTACGTCTAGGAACTAAATTATTCAACAAATAAATTCTTATAATGTTGCCCACACTGCAGCGCTGCCAAGCGCAGTCACTGCTTACTGCACAGTTAGCAGAGCGCGTTCTAATACGTGCGTGTGTAAGTATGTGTGCCGTAAAGAAGAGCAGAATGATTAGAATATCAGATCAGAGGGTTCAGGGTATATCCTAGTCGAGCAGTCTCGACTAGAGTTTTCTTACTTGTTAGATAAAAATTATTAAAATAAGTCATAGTATAATACAAAAATGTAAAAGTGTATGACAATTCTGTTATACCCTGTAAAATTATTTGTAAAAAAATGCCAAAAAAAAAAAATATTTTTCTTTTTCACTTAAACCATTTTTAGAAAATTAACATCAATAATCTTAATATTTTTCACCTAATTCGATATTCAAATTGTCTAGATCATGTTTATATTCGTCTTCCTTTTGAATTTCCGGTTTCGCTTATTTATTTATTTATTTATTTTCTTAAAGCTATTGACAAAAACGAGAGTCAATTTAAATTAAAAAAAGCCTAAACAAAGTACAGGATATAATTTCAATAGTACTCCGACCCGATGGGGGTATTTTATTTGCCAGTCTGGCCAGCTATGCCCACGTCTCACACCCAAATATGGTCAGTGATACTAATGAAGCTATAAAAAGAATGTGTTAGTAAGAAAACTTTAAAAAAATATTAAATGTAGATTTATTAACTATATCTAACATAATAATTAAAATAATTCTTAACAAAAAAAATTAATAAAAAAAAAGGAAAAAATAAAATAAAAAGAATTTAGTATAGAAAAAGAAAAAGGAAGGTATTAAAAGAAGTTGCAAGAAAAGTTAATACAAAGAATAAGAAATAATCAAAAGAAAAGAGTAAGGGAAGAGCCAAAATAGAATATAGGATAGAATTGAGAAATCACTACACACCATTGGCAACGAAAATGTATACCAATGATAATGCCTGGGCATTGTGAGTGATTTCCCTAAGATAAGCTAGAAGTAAACTTTTTATTTTAGAAAGAGAGAGCTCTAAGGAAAAAACGTGATAATATTTATTAAAATTAACACAAAGAACATGAAACGCACTGTGTAAAGAATAATCCCTAGTGCACACAGGTAAATGAAGCGGACGATAGTGTCTAGTTGCTCGGGACGGAACCGAAAAATTTAGACGACCCAACAAAGAGGACGAATCAATATCACCACTAATCAATTTATGCAGAAAAATTGTTCTGCGATTGGTTAGCGATGGAAGATCAACAAGCTGGAGCCGCCTACTATGATAAGACGGTAATCGTAAATTACTGTCCCATCTAAGGTCTCTTAAGGCAAAGAGAAGAAACTGTTTTTGGACCGATTCGATACGATCCTGATACAGTTTATGCTGCGGAGACAGCATACAACAGAGCAATACTCTAAGATAGGACGCACAAGCGAAGTGAATAAGCGCTTGGTAGTAAAAGGATCTTTAAATTCCTTAGACCAACGTTTAATAAAGCCAAGCACACTTTTGGCTTCATTAATGATGGTAGAAATATGAAGATTAAAGTTAAGTTTACAGTCAAAAAGCACTAATTTTATAATCAACATTTAGAGGAACGGTACGACTTAAGGTCATTGTCATACACTTTGAGTCCAGCTGGTTTGCCACACACCAAAGTTGAAATGCATTTAGGTCATCTTGAAGGTGATGATGTCCATTTGCACTGGAGTATGGAAGGCAAAGTTTTACATCATCAGCATACATAAATATAGTAGAATACGAGATACAACTAGGAAGGGAAAAAAGCTATGGACCCAAATGGCTACCCTGAGGTACATCAGACGAAACAAAGATAAGTTTAGACATAGCTGTTCTCAGCAAGACTCTTTGGGTTCTACCCATTAAATAGGATGAAATCCAAGACACAAGTCTCGGTGAAAATCCTAAGCGTTCAAGCTTAAGAATTAGTATGTGATGATGTACTGAGTCAAATGCTTTACTGAAGTCAGTATAAATAACATCAGTTTGCATTTTTTTTAGAAAAACTGTCATTAACAAGCGAAGTAAACTAAAGTAAATTAGAGGACGTTGATCGATTTTGAACAAAACCATGTTGAGATGGTTGAATAATCGATTTGCAAAAATGCTGCAAGGCCGATGTTATGATTTTCTCAAATATCTTCGGAATAGCAGATAATTTCGCAATGCCTCTATAATTGGAAATATCAGATCTTCCACCTTTTTTATATAAGGGAATAATGAAAGATTCTTTCCAGATTGAAGGGAACACAGAAGTACTTGTCCTTGGATACTTAAACAATTTTAGTAATTGAGACTGAAGAGAAACACTGCACTCTTTAATCACACAACTAGGAATATTATCGGCACCGGGAGAGAAAGATGATTTCAATGTCCTAATGGCTGCAGCCAGAGAGACTGCAGAAACTTTAGGAGTATTTATAGACCCATATTCAGGAAGTGAATTTGGATATGAGTTGCTGTAGAGATCAGCAGAAGAATAAGTGGATTGGAAAAAATCAGCAAATAGATCAGAGGAATCCTGGTCATTGCAAGTTTTTTCAGCACCAAGGACAAATGAGGACGGCGAACCTGAAGATTTACGCTTCAAGTTTACAAAAGAGTAAAATTGTTTGGGATCACGAACAAACTGACGTTTGCAACGTATGAGATAATTCTCATAACAGCTAGAATTTAAAAGATTGAAGTTTGACTAGGCAATGGAATATTTGGACCAGTCAACACTAGAACCAGACTTTTTATAATTTTTAAAACATTTAGTTTTAATGTTTCTCAAGTTCGAAAGAGTCTTGGTAAAAACCATGGTGGCTTATTTGAAACTAGCGAATTACAGCAGAGAGGGACACAAACATCCAGAATAGAGTTTAAGGTAGAATAAAAAAACGATGCTGCCAAATTAATATCAACCGACTCATATAAA